AATGCGGTTAGCCACTAAGACTGATGCTGTCAGTGCAGACACGTTTGATGAAGTGGTGGCCTTCAATAATTGCTTCTGTTCTTTGTGTTCACGGTTCGTTTTTGAGAAACTCCAAAGGCTTGTCTTTTAATGCAGGGTGCTTGGTCTCCATGTGGTGAAGCCGTTTTGAAGGTTCCATGGCTTCGTTGGATAGCTGGTTGCCACATATTATACAAAGCGGGCTTGGAGAATGTGAATCACCTGTTGCAGTGAACCCGTGATTTAAGTAGGACTCTTGGTATTTTCTTTTAAATGCAGCTTTCTTTCTTTTTGTTGGCAGTCTTGGAGCCTTCTGCTGTCTCATCATTGTGTCTTTCCCCTTTTCAAAGAAGCTCTCCAGCGACGTTTGGTTTTTACTCATTTTGGCGAGGGTTAGCTTGTGGGCTTACCAAAACTGTGACTGAGAGAAGTGCGCAGTGTGGGAAAGAGGCACGGATGGAAGTAGTAAATAAAATAATGGGTGGGCCACGCACGGACTAAAATACGTGTCGGATTCTGACTTAAAGCCTGCCCCCAGATGCAGCTTAATTGTCACTTGCCACTCACTGATAGGGTTCTGAAATGAGTCTGCAAGCAATTGATTTATTGTGGTCTCTGTGCAGTCAGACCTCTCTGTTAATGCTAACCTGTATTTGCAGCCGCTCCCCAGCGCTAGCATCACCGCCTCAGCTCCACCTCAGATCATCAGGCATTAGATTCTCATAAGGAGCGCACAACCTAGATCCCTCACACGCGCAGTTCACAGTAGGGTTCCCGCTCCTATGAGAATCTAACGCCGCCGCGGATCTGACAGGAGGCGGAGCTCAGGCGGTAATGCGAGCGATGGGGAGCGGCTGTAAATAGAGATGAAGCTGCGCTTGCTTACCCGCTGCTCACCTCCTGCTGTGCGGCCCGGTTCCTAACAGGCCATGGACTGGTACCAGTCCGTGGCCCAGGGCTTGGGTACCCCTGCCCTAGAACCTTAGGCCCGGCCCTAATGATACATATATTTTAGTCATTTTAAGGAATTTTGATACACGGATGGTCTCCAAATGAGACAGCTAGTTTACTTTAAAAAGTTGAGAACTGGTTCAATTCCTGAAAACACAGCCCATGGAGAATGGGGGAGCCAAGGCAAGCTTAGTAATGTGTCTCGCTTGCTTATTGCAGCTGCATTCATCTTCTTATCCTCTAGCCCTTTCCTCAAAGCTCCCAGATCATCCATCCTGCACCATGAGTGCAGGCAGGCCAAGCACATTCAAGCTAGTCTGGGAGAGAGAATCCATTACAGGAGGAGCCATGAGAACCTCATGTGAGACAGAATAGGCCTTTTCACCCTTAAGGACTTCAAAAAGAAAAAAATTGTGGCCATTCTTTAACCTCCTTCCAGGGGAAGGCATTCACCCTTAGGGGCAGTAGAGTCAGGTATATTATTATACTCGTATATATAGACTCTGGAATAGAAAGAATGATTCTGAGGGCCACAGCTTGTGGATCACTCAAGTTCTGACCTACCTGCCAGGGAATGATTGTTAAATTCTAGAGTCTTGGAAGGAATGGGAAAAGAAAGGTAAATGAAGAGGTAAGGTGTGCTCTGTGCAGTTCTGTAGTACAGTTAAAATTTAATGAGGAAGAGAAGACTGACAATAAAAACGGAACTACCATATAATCCAGCAATCGCACTTCTGTATATCCAAAAAAAACCAAAAACAGGATATTGAAAATTTATCTGTACTCCCAAGTTTACTTCAGCTGCAGCATTATTCACAATAGCCAAGATAGGGAAACAATCTAAGTGTCCTTCAACGGATGAATGGATAAAGATGTTGCATTTGTATACAACTGAATATTATTCAGCCATGGGAAAGAAGGAATTTCCGCCATTTGTGACAACATGGATGGACGATGAGAGCGTTATGCTTAGTGAGATAAGTCAGCAGAGAAAGACAAACACTATGATATCACTCATCCATGTGATCTAATAACGCCAAACTCCTACTAACAGAGGGCGGAATGGTAGCTACCAGGGGCTGCGGGTAGGGGAACTGGGGAGATGTTTAAAGGTATGTACTTACAACTAGAAGATAAATACATTCTGGAGATCTAATGTCCAGCATAGTGATTATAGTCAACAGTATTGTATTATAAACTTCAAAGTTGCTAATAAACTAAATCTTAGCTGTTCTCACCACAAAAAAAAGAAATAATTATGTGACATGATAAGAGATGTTAGTTAATGCTGTGATGATAATCATAATATATAAATGTATTAAATCAACACGTGGTACACCTTCAACTTATAGAATGTTGATATGTCAATTACTACTCGATTTTAAAGAAAACAAAACAAAACCTGACAATGTCCTGGTCTGGATCAACTGCTCAAAATGTCTGAAGCTGAGAATAGGAGAGCTGATTCCCACCAAGCACCAAAATGAAGGGCTATAATGACTGGTGGGCATACAAGTGAGACTCCACTGGGGCACCTCCCAAGTGAGAAGGGAAGGCCTCCAGGCTTTTGTTGGTGCTTTTCCTCCACTACATGGAATGCACTGAGCCTCCTTCTGGTCCTGCTCTTCCTCCAAATCTCCACTTAAGTGTCACTTCCTGGGCTTCCCTGGTGGCGCAGTGGTTGAGAGTCCACCTGCCGATGCAGAGGACACGGGTTCGTGCCCTGGTCCGGGAAGATCCCACATGCCGCGGAGCGGCTGGGCCCGTGAGCCATGGCCGCTGAGCCTGCGTGTCCGGAGCCTGTGCTCTGCAACGGGAGAGGCCACAGCAGGGAGAGGCCCGCGTACCGCAAAAAAAAAAAAAACGCAAAAAAAAAAAAAAAAAAAAAGTCACTTCCTCAAGGAATTCTTCCCTGGCATCTCAGATTCCACCCCCAATTCCACTGTAGATTTTCATTGCATATTGTTACTTCTTCTGTAACTATTTTAGTATCTGTCTCACTTATCACACTCTAAGCCCTGAAGCAGGGACCAGGCCTGTATTGTTTGTCATCTTCTTCTAGGCCCCAAGGCAATGCCTGGCATTTAGGAACTCAACAAAATATTGAGTGAATGGGTGAAGGTGAGATCGAAATCAGACTATTATCATTCACTGTATTACGGTTATTAAAATTCTGCCCCTGGTGCTGATGTAGCTTCATACAGGACTGCCAGCCTCCCCCATGTAATGATTACGGCGTAGTCCCTGGTAAGCCCAAGTTTCCACTAAACTTGAGCCCCTCTTTACCTCAATTTCATAAAGAGTGGTCCTTGCAAACGTAGTGGCCAAAGTACCCAGGTGTCTTTCAATCAACCATCAGGATAAAAGGACTTGTAAAGTGTACTAGTCTGCTAGGGCCGCCATAACAAAATACCACAGACTGGGTGGCTTAACAACAGAATCTTTCTCACAGTTCTGGAGGCTGGAAGTCCAAGATCAAGGCTGATTTCTTCTGAGGCCTCTCTCCTCTGCTGGCAGATGGCCACCTTCTCACTGTGTCCTCACACGTACTTTGCCCCAGGGTCTCTGTATGTTCTAATCTTTTTGTAAAGACACTACTGAGATTAGATAAGGGCTCACCCTAATGGCCTCATTTTAACTTAATTATCTCTTTAATAAAGCCCTCTCTCCAAATATAGTCACATATTGAAGTACTGGGAGGTGAGGGCTTCAACGTATGAATTGGGAGGGGGGAACACAACTCAGCCCATATCAAAAAGGAAAACACAGGTAGCCTCCCTCCCAAGAAGGGCTGTAGCACAATGGGAAAGCCTCCACCCAGTTCTCAGGAGATTAGCCAAGAATTCTGGGGTTTTAATGAAGGTTAATAACAGGTATCAAGTACATCATCAAGGAGTGAACTTTATACCAAAAAATTCTTTACAAATGCTGCTGTGGAGAAATACTTACGGATATTGGAAATTTTAAGTATCTATCATGTACTTTGTAATGAACAGGAAATGGTCCACGACCACAGAGAATTAACTTGGAAAAACATGTTTTCACTGTGTAAAATTAATAACTCCCCAAAAGTAGAGATCATGGCAATATTAGGAGCATAGGCGCTTCCTACCAATTCACCAGCAGAAAACTGAAAATAATCAATGAATTACATTTTCATTATGATAGAGTATAAAGCACATTTGGATAGGGAGTTCTCAAATTTTGGTCTGGGCACTATTATTTGATAACTGTGACTTCATATAATTTACTCCTTGGTTAAGAATTTCCTCAGGTATAAAATAACATGATAACATGTTAAGATCAGTTAACATTATCTCTGAAGTTCACTCCTGGTCTAATATTCTAGCAATTTCTTTGTTAGCATCAGTTTTCTATCCCAATTTATATAGAACTCAACTGGTCTATAGCACCAGTTAGCTGCTGTGGTTTGGCAACCTAGTAGCTAATCTACAATAGGCTAATCAGAACCAAAACATTTAAATAGTAGAGCCAAGTTTCCAGCAACACTATTTTTCTTGTTTGACACAACTGAAGTACTAAAGACACCAACACAAACTAATGCATTAAAGACATCAGCTTTCCTTTTAACAAAAGATATAACTTTTTTTTTTTTTTGCGGTACGCGGGCCTCCCACTGTTGTGGCCTCTCCCGTTGCGGAGCACAGGCTCCGGGCACGCAGGCTCAGCGGCCATGGCTCACGGACCCAGCCGCTCCGCGGCATGTGGGATCTTCCCGGACCGGGGCACAAACCCGCGTCCCCTGCATCGGCAGGCGGACTCTCAACCACTGCGCCACCAGGGAAGCCCCAAAGGATATAACTTTTAACACATTATCCCATATTTTGTTCATTTCCTATCATTCCATTTATACTTAAACTGATTTTTTTTAATAAAGAATGGTTTGTCCAGATTAAATAATTTTGTTTTTATAGCTGTGAAACCGTCCTCTCATGTCTTGTTACTTTGGTACAAAAATACAGTTGGTAAAAAATTTTACAGGAATTTTATAATAATGAGACTTCTTAGCATTTTTTCAAAATAGGTATTTATTATTAAAAAATTATACGAACTGACTTATTACTCACAAAAAAAAAATTATCATGAAAAATTTTAAACAATACGTCTCCCCTCTCCAAGAAAGTGTGTTTTGTCTTTATACTCTTTACTGTCAGTGCATTTTGATGGTATAGGAAAAAATTCACACATATTCCATATAACTTTGTTAGAATTTACAACAATACAGCAGAATCCAGAATCCCTACAGCGAATTATTAAGAAAACACATTTTTTCTTCAAGTTTAAGTGTTTTTGAGGTTATATAAACAGTGAAGATTACAAAATAAATAGTAAACAAACACCTGTGTATAATTTTTCAATGCAAGAAATGATTAGTCATACATTTTTCATTTTGTTTCAACCTTACCGGAACACTTTTAAGAGCGAAAGTTGAAAATTTTCCAGTTACCCGAAACTTCAGAAACCTACTGTCCATTGAAAACCTCTGAAAAGCAGCATCGTTTAAACAGCGGTTAACTTACAAATGGGAATGCAACAACCACAACCGACCCCAAGGCCACTCAGGCACGTCAGAGTCCCCAGCTCTAAATGCAAGGCAGAACCTCCTCGGCAGAGGCTCTGACAGTTAAAAGGCCGTGAGGAGAAGGGATGCAGCCCAGGGCATCGGGCGCTTTCTCGTGGTGGAACAAAGTCAAAACTGAAGGGACTCTCCTTACAGAGTCCAAGTCACTGAAAGCAGCTCTATTAAACACCTGAGTCCTTTCTGACGCCCTCCTCAGCGCTTTACAACACGGACAGGACAAACAAAGGCTTCATGCACAGATTTTCTGAAACTGTGCCAATGCTCTAACAACTAATTTAGCAGAAAGAACTACAAAATGCAAATTTTTTAAAGGTTTCCCTATTAATGGGATTATGGATGAAGCTAGGAGCCAATCTGTCTCCTAAAAATAAAACAATTCATACGTCATCGAATGCAGTTTCAATTAGAGATCAGCTGTCAACACTATTTTAAAAGGTCTTGAAAGAAAAACAAAAAGGCCATTTTTTAATCTGGAATATAAATAAATCATCCATATAAAAGCTCTATTATCTATATAAATGGAGCTACTTTCAAATAATTGGAATAATTTAGCTATTTAAAATACCATTTTAAGCAATAAAAGGCAAAGACGAGGGGTACCTACTGAACTATATACTTAAAAAATGATCGATACAGTAAATATGTATTTTACCATAAACAAAAGAAGGGTACTTTTTGATAATATATAATACTAAGAAAGATGCAACTAAGTAATCAGACTGCTATTAGTAAGAAAATAAGTTAGTTTTCCCTGTTTTGTACTCTGAAGTTCAAAGGCCCAGTTTCAAATTCCCAAAGCTCCAAACACAGTGACAAATAAAAGTTCAATCCAACCCTTAAATTAAACCACTCTCCGTGCCCTGGCCCCCGAGTTTGGACAGACTCAGGTGACAGAATTGTTCAAGGTGTTATAAAAAAAAAAAAAAAAAGCCCAGGGCTTTAAAAAAAAACCCCCTTTTTTCAAGTTCCTTTTTTTTTTTTAAGTGTATCTATTTAGTGGAATAAGTTGACACATATTTATAAACCAAAAGGTAATTCCTTACGTATTTTATAATAAGGAAGAACCTCCCTACCACCAACTTTTTGGCCATCTTTCTCCCTCTCACTTAGAATTACTGTCATCTCCCTGGTATACCCTTACCCTGTATCAATAAGGATACCACAATACTGTACAAAGCACGGACACAGAAGCTGGTTTCTTAGCAGACTTGCCCCAGAGACTGCTGAAGCAGCAAGGCAGCAACACCCAATCTGAGGCAGTACCTGGGTTGTACTTCAAGATTGCACTGACCAAGCCCTCCGCATCTACAGAAGCAGGGGCGTTCTTTCACCAGCTGGCTGTTCCTTCTGAAAGAGCTCTTTGATCTGGGCTAATCGGCCGTAGAGCCTCTCTCTCAGTGGAGGGATGTGGTAGCTGGGGTCCAAGATGTTCGTCACTCTGCGCTCACGCTCTCGCTTCCATAACTTGTATGGGTGGGGAGGGAAAAACGGTTGCCCTCTTTCTCTTCGAATCTGTAACGTAATTCCACTTACAGCCAGCATGCCCCATACTGCCAGGATAATAAAGTCTAAAGAATGGTAGAGAAGCACAGTTTGAACTCTTGTATTTTAAAACCTAACACAGATCGAAGACAACATTTCATAGCCTCAATCTGTATCATCTTTTCTCAGTTAATATTAGACTTTCTGGTAAGTTTGTCCAAACATACGTGTATTTCCTCACCAGCCAAGGAATAAGTGAGGAAGCTATGGTCTTACATTTTAAAATAGGAGTTTCCAATTACCGGCATTTGAAAGTCCAGACAGGTTGTAAAGGAATCAGTTGTTTGGATCCTTGGCATTCCAATATTTTATGACTAGTGCCCACAGACACAGCTGTTTGTTGTTTGCTGTGTTTCTCCAGAGGTGGGGGGGGGGGGAAAGGCAGTGATCTCACAAATGTACATCATTGGAACGTCATGATGCTCTTTTTTGCCATCCCACCCTATATGGGACCCCACCCCACTCATATAGAATGGATACAGAAGTGCATGAAAAGATTCAACAAATTGTACTGAGCTTCTAGCAGAAGACTTGGCAAAATACTGTCAAACTTCCAAGACATGTGGATTTCAAGGTCTTTACCATCAACCTCTTAAAGAATGAGGGCAGGTTCAGGATAGCAGAGGGAAAGAAGTGCCCTTAAATATTCATAACAATCACAATGGTGCTTATATATCTTCAATTCTAAGACCTGCTTTTCCATCCTCGCTATTCTAACATTTCTGAAACCAACATATCTTATAATCTTTGTGAACATTTAATTTAGTAGTCATATTTTTCAAAAAGTTAATGGAAAATCTTTAATGGGTAGACTCTTACAATTGAGGAAAAATACAGCTACTGATTGAAAACCACTTTCACTTTGATTAGCAAATTACGTGCTTCTTTATAGGAGGAAAACAAGGGAATAGCTTAAAAATATCAGGTTGTCGTTCTCACCCCTCACCCCACCCCAACTCAAAAGGTGCCAAACAGCTTTATTCTCAGCATTTTTCTTACAACTGGGAATTGACCAGATAAACTTTAGTAATCCTGGCTTAGAAATTTCTTAATAAAGTTCATTTACTAGATATTTAGAAGTATGGCTTTCAGCCACCTTACAAATTTAAATTCTTCATTCCTATGATCGTAAGTTATTAACACAGGGCTCTTATAGCATTTGGATGGTGTGAATTTCCACCTTTTGTCCAGTTAACCTTCTTTCAATCTTTCAATCTGGTTACCAAGAGTTCTTGTTAGCACAGGTGGGCCAGTATTCCTATCTGACTATCACTTGGTTCTTGGATTTAGAGTCTTACCATTCGTTTGAAAAGGCACATTTATGAAAGCTCTGCGGAAATCCACGTGGAGCACTCTCTTCAGTACATTCAAAGTGATGTAGGAAAGGCTTGTGTACAAGTAACTGTCAACGGCCAAGACCACCGAATAGGAGCCAATGAATCCACAACTCAGTATGTTCAGCTGTGGAAGAGCAGAAGCGTTTAGGCGGCACCTCTGGTAGAACAATAATAGTTTTTAACTAATCACTTCTCCCTCAGAGCATGTGAAGAGAGACCAAGTCTTACAGCTGAATAAAGGTTACCTGAAAATATAAACTGAAAACAATCTTCAACACCTACAGTTGGTAAAACAGTTTCCCTCATCATAGAAAATATCTTCCCTGTGAAAGAACTTCAACAATAAATTCTAATTAGATTAAGAACCATTCTTCTGGAGAGACGGCTGAAATGAACAATCCGGCAGATTATTGCATTACTGTAAGCCCTACGTTCTCTGCTTCTGCTGTTAAAGGAGGGATGACCTGCACCACTTGATGGAAAAAACATCGTAACTAGGTAATGGTAACTAGAACTTCTCTTGCTTTCATAGTAACAAGGCTATTTAAAAGCCAATCATCTGGGGCTTCCCTGGTGGCACAGTGGTTGAGAGTCCGCCTGCCGATGCAGGGGACGCGGGTTCGTGCCCCGGTCTGGGAAGATCCCACATGCCGCGGAGCAGCTGGGCCCATGAGACATGGCCGCTGAGCCTGCGCGTCTGGAGCCTGTGCTCCGCAACGGGAGAGGCCACAACAGTGAGAGGCCCGCGTACCGCAAAAAAAAAAAAAAAAAAAAAAATCAGTCATCTGATACAGATAATCAGACAGCTCTCTCTGGTGAATAAAAATGCAAAACAACTGAAGGCCCAGGACAATAGGATGAATAAACTGACCGGATGACACTTACTATTCTTAGGCAGCCCATGAAAACCACTGGAATGAGAATAGCTATACAAGAGAAGGTCACCCAGAACACTGAGTCATCACGGAAAATCTTTAGGTTTCCTGGAAAAGCAAAAAGAAATCAAGAGTAAACAACAGGTTCACCAAGTTAAATTTCATTTTCTCAACGTGTGAACATAGACGCACATCGAAGATTTAATTTAACAACCAGGGAATATGTCGGCAATTAGATATGAACTGACTTTTTTCATTTAACTGTCAATACAATCCCCTTTGAAGGGAGTGTCCTAAGAAGGTAGAGGGGTGGGAGGAAAATCAAGCAGGTAAATGCTCTGCATTTATTACCAGGATAATTTAGAAGAGGCTGGACTAGTCCAAGCTCTTCCATTTACCAGCTGTGATGCTGGGCCTCAGTTTCCTAACCCATAAGATGAGATGGTTGAACTACTTCATCCCCAAGCTTCAAATCGTCCCTTCTAGCTACAAATTTCTATGATTCCATGATTTTGTACTGCAAAGTAAAAAATGTAAGTGGCATTCAGAGTTAACCATATGAACTCCCATATAAGCAGCAAAATCGATTTAATAGGGTTTTAAAAAAAAAAAATATATATATATATATATATATATGAATTTGCACCCACTCTTATTAAGGAGACACTCACCCTAAATGTCCTTAAGCAATGAGATAGTTCATACATTAACTACCAAAAATAAGATAGTTCAATACATCAACTACAGACAATTCTAACCCATCATCCCTCCATCCTCTAAGCATTAACAAAAAGGGAGGAAGCTCATTAAGTAGTATTTGATTTAGCACTTCTAGAGTAGAGCTCTGAATCTGCATTTTCAACAGACATCCCTGGGAACCTGTCATTTAGTCAAATCTAAACAATGCTACTTTCCAGGTAGATAAAAAGCTACCTGCGGTGGGGGGGGGGGGGGGGGCGGGCTGTGGAAATGAACTCGGCTATAGGTTTGCTAAAATCAGAACAAAGGGTCTTGGAATGGTCAGTAAACACACAGGTCACCAATTCTCTCTGATCTTAAAAGAAAGAATCTTTAGAGAGCCAACTGCACTCAATGTCCTGTGTTCTCAAGAGCTGACGGCCTCAAGAGACAGGCATTCTTTTTTTTTTTGAGACAGCTATTCTTATAGCTAACATTTTCATCGCCTTTAATCTGATATTATTATATAAGAACTAAACATTGTCACAAGAAGGAAATAGCCTAATACTTTTTTTTTTTTTTTTTTTTTTTTTGTGGGACGCGGGCCTCTCACTGTTGTGACCTCTCCCGTTGCGGAGCACAGGCTCCGGACGCGCAGGCTCAGCGGCCATGGCTCACGGGCCCAGCCGCTCCGCGGCATGTGCGATCCTCCCGGACCGGGGCACGAACCCGTGTCCCCTGCATCGGCAGGCGGACTCTCAACCACTGCGCCACCAGGGAAGCCCGCCTAATACTTTTGAATGTAGATACTCCCTTTTTTTTCTTAATTGAAATATAGTTGATTTACAATGTTGTGTTAGTTTCAGGTGTATAGCAAAAGTGATTCAGTTATACACACACACATACACATATATATATTCTTTTTTGGATTCTTTTCCATTATAGGTTATTACAAGATATTGAATATAGTTCCCATGGTATATAGTAGGGCCTTGTTGTTTATCTATTTTAAATATAGTAGTGTGTAGATACTCCTTTTTTTTGCATTTTTGACAACAAACAAGAAATGTTAAGTTATTGTACAACTGCAAAATGAAGGGAAACAGAATGGGGCACCCCAAAATGTGCCCCTTTGGCATGAGCTGAAAGGCAATCAAGACCCAGCAGATTCAGAAAACCTTTTCTTTCCCTTAACTGCCTAAAAGAATTTAGATCAGGGGCCTGGCCCAGAACGAAAGCAATTACCAGAGATAACTTTTAATCTGAAAGACTTACCTGCATGGCAAACACCTGCTCTTCTTATAATGTTCCTGTAAACTGCCCTCCTCCCCTTTGAAGCCCCAGACTCCATTCCATTTCTTAGCTCGGGATGGCAGATAAGCCTCAACTGCTTGACCGCCTTTGAGGCCTATATTTGTATGGGACTCCAGTGGCACGAAATTAAATCTGTTTTTCTCCTATTGATCTGTCTTATGTCAATTTAATTATTAGAGCAGCCAAAGAACACAGAAGGGTAGAAGGAAAATTTTTCCTCCCCTACAAAAGGAAGTTAACTTACAAGCTAACTAGATTTTAAAAATTGATAGAAATTGAATAACTTAAAAAAATCCCCAGAACCATCCCTTTGCTACTGTCCTAGGATGACTACAAGTAGGTACTTCGGGAATACTCGGGGTTTGGCAAAGGGTGGGAGCAGAGGTTAGGGGTAAAGAGAAGACAGGGGACAAAGCACCAGGCTCCTCAGCTCAGCTGCCATCAGAGCAGCACCAAGTTTATCTGTGGGGTGTATCAGGCTTCTGCTTAAAATTCACTTGAAGAAAGAGTTCCAGGGTTTAACAAATGAAAAACGAAAACCACTATTCTGCCATATATAAAGAATCCCCTTTACCTCCCTTAATTTCAACTAACAGAAACACACACCCACACTGCCCTTATCATGACAAATAGATACAAAGCTACCTCCAAAAACATTCTAGAATTATCTATACAGAGCGCCTTTGAGGAGAGAGGGATTCTTACTGGTACTGACCCTCCCCAAAGTGCCACATTATCAGTGCAAATTTCCAGAACTCTAAGGAGAGGCCCCAAATCCCTGACGAGGGGATATGTGTACTAGAGAGCTGAATTGAACTCTTTAAACAGTGAACTGAACACACATGACATGAGTTACACATCTCCTACCCAGTGGAGTGAAGAAAGTCACTGATGAGACGAGGAACCCCAGCACTAGTCCAACACACAGCATGCAGAGCACAAGGATTCCAAATCGCCACCAAGCAGCTACCAAGAAAATCCCACCGACACTTCCGGCAACGGCTGTCAGAACCAGGCGGACTGCACAGGGAGAGAGGATGAACAGTTAGATCAGAGGAAGCTTTTCCAACCGCACCCTTAGACACACTATACCATTACCAGTGCCAGCCTAGCCTTTCTCTGGGTCAGGCACCGAAGGCGCATCAGTGGTGCAGTGAAACCGGCATGGGGAGGCCCTCTCTAGGGAGGGCCCGGTCTGAGGCTGGAAACCAGCCGGGGAGCTAAACCTCCAAGGACTAGTGACAGGCATGGCTTCGTACAACCTATAATTGGGGCAGAGGAAGGAGGGGTGACAAGCATTCTGTTCAATGTGACAAGGAAGGAGGGGCTGTGTTTGTTTTAAGGTAAAGAAAATCTTAACACTCTGATTGCTGTAAATGTCATATGGTCAATATACCACACAGCTGGAACACAGGTTTATAATCAATATGGCCCTTCATTTCCCTCAGTACCAAGGAATTCACCATGTAGATTAAAAACCCGGGAGAGATGGTCTGAGGAGTAGTTTAGAAAAGATGTGTAGAGCACAGGTGGCCAGTTATTTTACACACATAAGAGGATATCACACACAATACTGGTCAAACTGTAGAAGGAAAGGTGGGTGTAAACGGTGCCTTCCTTTTGGAACACTCAATCAAACGATATTATTTTCACTTACCATCATACTTAATAGGTGTCAGTCTTGTAATCAGTATATAAAAGAAGAATCCCATGAAGATAAAGCCTATAAAGAATAGTTCTAGTAGCAAACGACCAAGGAAGGAAAAAAAACAAAAGCTACAGTTAGTAAATGCAATTTAAATGTCTAATCTACAAATACATGCTTCAGTTCCCAGAATTTACACATGAGGGCATTCAGAGAAGAGAAATAATTATCTAAAAGGCAGGAAAGATTCAGAAGTCACTGGGAGTAAATATTATCATTAAATGGGTACAAATTCAAGTATTAACTATTGGATACATTTTCTTGTATATAGGTCAATTTCAATTGGTCAGTTAATTGTTAATTTCATAGCTCATTTTAATATATTTATACTTCCTACTTAAAACAAAAATAGTACTTCTGTCATTGTGTCTGATCTGAAATTACACACTAGATTTCAATTCATTACATGAGCAAGAATACAATTTGAAAGGTTAAAAAAAAAATATTCCAAAGCAAAATGTGACTTTTATGTCTTCTTTTAAGTCATCCTTTCCTGTTTAGGATGAACATCAACCATTGTCTTTATCTATAAAAAACCTAGTAATATCTTTGGGACCTTGCATACAGCTTAACAATTAAATTCTGTATTATAGAATCATTCTACACTTTGAGAAATTAAATATTCTTCACAATATTCTCTTCTCAATCAACAAAAAGAGTATAGTAATGGAGGGAAAGGAGTTGCTGCTTCAAACAATTTATTAAAGCAAGTTTGAAGAGTTTTATAAGATCAAGATTATGTTTACTATCCCCTTGATGCTCATTATACTGCCTGTTAATGAATTATATAAGGTTTTGTTTTTTTTGTTTTTTTTTTAGTAACTGCAAACATTATATAAAAGTCAGCCCAGGGCTTCCCTGGTGACGTAGTGGTTGAGAGTCCGCCTGCCGACGCGGGGGACACGGGTTCGTGCCCCGGTCTGGGAAGATCCCACATGCCGCGGAGCGGGTGGGCCCGTGAGCCACGGCCGCTGGGCCTGCGCGTCTGGAGCCTGTGCTCCACAGCGGGAGAGGCCACAGCAGTGAGAGGCCCGCGTACCGCAAAAAAAAAAAAAAAAAAAGTCAGCCCGATGAATTCAAATCAATTCAATGAGCACAATTCATATTCTACTTCCTCACTGGGTTTCACCGAGCAGACTGTGGAGTTCCCATTTGCTGTCTGAACCTCCCAGGGTTGTGCAGACATTTCGACCTCCCTGTACTGTACACTGCAGCCTGATTTATACGAAACCATGTCGATCACCACCACCAAAATCCACATATATTTTTACATAGACGTCCTGATTTCTAATTAGTAATCTTTGGTCAACTAGTCAATCTAGCAATTGAAGTTTTGATGCACAAATCAAATTTTATTCCCCTCTTAATAAGAGAAGGTTGCATTCCATTGCTGAGAAAAGAGAAAAAATCAAAATGCATTGTAATTCAGTAGAATCTTTACTAAAAGACCCCAGCTACAAATCGATAAAGATAGTGGAGGTAGCCAGTTGCTTACTCTCCTTACAGGTCATAAATTCCCCAGCAGCATTTCAGAAAAAAGACCACAAGGCATGTAAATAGCAACTATATTAGACAAAATACCTGTTTTCCAGAATCTGTGTCCAAAGAAACAGATGAAGAGACCAAGCAGGGCAAAAAGAGTGAAGAACACTTTGGTAGATACTCTTCCTAAAAATAATGAAAACTGAGTGCATAATACATCGAATTTGATACTTTGAATCAATATAGAACAAAGCTTCATGAAAAAAAGCAAAGTGAACTGACAATAATTTATTCCATACGCGTATTACTTATTTTAAAAACATCTTTGCCACCCCTAATGACTTACTCTATGTGGGCAGTGAATACCAATGGTCGCTGGCGTCACAAAAAGAGAGGTCAGACAACACTGCTTCCTGATGAAGGTCTGCAATGCTACTCACGACACATTTGGGGGAGGGGATGGGGGAGAAGTGGGAAAGGAGGAGGAGAGAGACCATGCCTAAAACAAATAACTGTTTCTTCACAAATAAACTACAAGAAAAAAAGGAGGGTCGGGGGAGGGAGAACGATGGCTTAAAGGGGATTTAAGACACACATCAACTAAAAACAATGTGCAGACCTCATCTGAAACCTGATTCAAACAAACAAAACTGTGAAAAACAATTAAGAAGCCTGGGAAAATGTAAACACTGGCTGTTAATCTGATGCTATTAAGGAATTATCTTCAATATTTTTCATTGAGACTTGTGCTAATGATACTGTGGCCATATATTTTTAAAAACAGCACTTATCTTTAAGATATACATATTGTACTAAAATTTCGTAAGCAAAATGACCATTAGGGACCCACTCTAAAAGAATCCAGTGAAGGAGGGGGCCACAGGGACGCAGGTGGGTGTATAACTGCAACAGGATAACGGCCATGAATCAAAATTGCTAAGGCGGGATAATGATATATGGAGGCTCACTGAAGTTTTCCATCACAAAAGATTTTAACCAAAACTCACATTAAATTAAAGAAGATGTATTATTCTATAAGTAACACATGAACAAATTACTACCAATCTTCTCAATTATACATGTTGCTTTGGATAAACATGTAGTGTAATAACTAATGATGAAGCACAATATGCTCCCTGATGCCGAAGAATCCAAACCCTGTGATCCTCAATCGGCACAAACTTAAATAGAAAAAACAGGATTCGAAAGACAAGCCCTATTGAAGGGAAAAACAGATCCACTAAATTCACCACCATCATGACACCTTTGAGATAAACACAAGAAAGTCTTCCCCGAACTAAAAACAAAAACAAAGCACCTACGCAAACTCATGTGAAGTGTTACAAACTGACCACAAGTAAAAACACATAAAAGGGGCTTCCCTGGTGGCGCAGTGGTTGAGAATCTGCCTGCCAGTGCAGGGGACACGGGTTCGAGCCCTGGTCTGGGAGGATCCCACATGCCACGGAGCAACTAGGCCCGTGAGCCACAACTACTGAGCCTGCGCGCCTGGAGCCTGTGCTCTGCAACAAGAGAGGCCGTGATAGTGAGAGGCCTGCGCACCGCGATGAAGAGTGGCCCCCGCTTGCCACAACTAGAGAAAGCCCTCGCACAGAAACAAAGACCCAACA